AGCAATTGGACTTGCGGTTTTCAACAAGAAGTCGAAAATATCACTTTTTACCAAAAATGACAAAAATATTCACCAAAATTAGAGAATTAAAGATATCATTACAAAATGAACAAATCTGAGAGAGGTCGACATGTAGTACCTATATATGTAATATCAAAGCAATTGCACTTGCGGTTTTCAACAAGAAGTCGAAAATATCACTTTTTACTAAAAATGACAAAAATATTCACCAAAATTAGAGAATTGAAGATATCATCATGAAATGAACAAATCTGAGAGAGGTCTACCCAAGGTACATATACACCAAGTATCAAAGCATTCAGGCTTGTAGTTTTCAAGAAGAAGTCGAAAAAGTAAAACATTGACACGGACGACGACGACGGACAATCACTCATATGATAAGCTCCGCTCGACAAAGTCGACAGCGGAGCTAAAAATACCAAAATTCAGTCACAAAAAAGTTTCCTTAGTTGAATTAAGCTAAATGAAGTTTCTCTGAAAATAATTCTTCAATTCATGACCTTTACAGTCATTCTGAGAAATATTCAGTTAGTTAATAGCAAGATGGCATACTTATGTGTTTGTCCATCTAGACTTGAAGGCAGCATGCCATCTGTTAAGCAGTGCTGCCAAATTAAGAACAAAGCAAACGCCAAAGTGCTTCACAAAGTTATAAGCCATATTTCTAATTGACTGTCCAAATTATTCTCAGAATGGCTGTAATGCCGTGAACAAGTGTCAGGCATTGCTTAGTTCTAAGACCAGTACTGAGAGGGAAGATTTTTCTGCACAATTTTGCTTTTTCTCTTTTCTTTGCTGTGGTATCAGTCACAATTTTAACCACACACTTTTGATAGTAGAAGGAAGGGTTACTTTTCACTCACATCATTCTGGTAGTCTAGAATTCCTTTCAACACTTTCTTCAGATTACTGACTTTTAATCGCCAGTTGTCTCCAACACCTTGCTTTATTCGACCAAACCAATTTGCATCAAAAAAGGAGGGGGCACTGAAAGTAAACACAAGAACCTGATAACACATGTTGTCAGGGCTAGAATTTGTTTTTTTCTTCCGAGCCTTGATAGGGTTCTACTGATTTGAAAAGTAAATATGTATGTAACTCTACGCTAATCAATCACTGTTTTTTGGAGATTGAATGTACCATATTTGCTCTACTAGGAACGCAAATAAACCAAAAAATTGCATTTATTGTAAGCTTGATCACTAAAATATGACATGCATGTACCGGGGATACTCTATTTACTCTATCTCCAATAGAAGTACATGTAAAGGAAGGAGTACAATTATTGTATATTGACTCATTCAAATACTACTTATTTGACCTGAGACACACATCTGTCATATATGTACAAGGTATGTGCTACTAATAGAGCAAATACGGTAATATGTAAAACAACCTACGATACTCATTTTATGTAAGATATCTATTAAGTACATGTATTATCAATCATAATTCTTTGTGAATTTCTATTACCAGTAGTCTAGTAAAGTGAATCAACAGCAGCCTAGGGCATACAGAGTGCTAATTCTTGTCCCAAGGACTACTATTTTTGTAATTTAGACATCAAATCTTGGATCAAATGGATATAATAAAATAACATTTGCAACTTTGAACTTTGTGCCTGTTACTACCAAGAACAATAACCACCGAATATACATAATGCATTAGACAAGGTTGTTTGGCATGTCTGGTTCAGCATATGTAGTAAAATCAACCCATTACACAATGAATGCATTAGACAGGGGTTTGAAAAACAGTTGTTTAGCATGTCTGGTTCAGCATATGTAGTAAAACGCTAGACAATATGAACCCATTACACAATGAATGCATTTCCTACTAACTAAATATAGACACTCTGTGTGTTACATGTATATGTTATGTATTTATAGAACAAGGTAAGGGTATAGGTTGGAGAGAAGGGCAGGTGGTCATGTACAATCATTGTTCTATTGTTCCATAGGACTATAAAAATGTGAATAATGACAATATACAATAGTATAGTGTAATTTATAAAAATAAACACAAATACCACTCAATTTAACTTTTTTCAAAGGTTCTCAGCATTTCCACTGAATTTAATTATGAGATTTTTTTAAATTTATTGTTGGGCAAGTTGTTGGCAATAATGTATCTTGTTATAATCCCTAACATTACATTGAGTCACATAAAAAAATGCAGAGTTCTCTCCAGAACATCATATAGTCCCAAATGTGATAAACAATAAACAATAATAACAATGAACTCAATCAAGCTAATTAACCTAGTCCATTGTTATGTAAATTATCCACTAATTTGAGTAATTTTTGCCAAAACTTGTGTTAAAACAGTCGGGCTGAGTCAGCCCAATACAATTTATAGATTTGCTGCTTGAAGGCTTGGCATGAACCGAAATCAGGCCCTCAGTGATGAACTTAAGAGAACACATACTGATTCATACTAGTATAACATAGCGATGAAGGGAAATGCAGCTAGATATGGTCAGATACTGACGCATTTTTATGTGCTGCTGCAACTAGCTTCTTTTTGCAATGCTGCATCAACGCAAAAAACAGTTCTTAGAATAATCATGTGTTAGATGACTTATAATAAATACTGTAACAGCAAATAGATATGATCTCAATATAACAATTATTAATATCATCATACATGTGTTGTCTACCATGTTTTGGTCAACTAACAGATCGATGAACAAGGGTGTGATTTCAAGTGGGTCCTGATATGGGTCTCAACTAACATGACCGCAAATGCTATACCGGTAATCCTTTTTCAAACATGAAAGCTTACAAATTACAACATAGTATATATTTGACTTCGGGGGGGGGGGGGGTACACAAATGGCAGTAAATGTTTTACATCTGTGTTTGTATTGGGAATGATGATATATTTGATAAAATGGGAAATAAATAAATCTAACTTACATCTGACAGAGTACTTCACATATCGCTACGCCATCAGTGAGCTCGTTCACCGTTTCATGTTTACACCTTATTTCAAACGTCTGTAACTGTTGATGGAAAAATTACAATTAGCCCTGAATAAACATACATTTATTTACTATAAAATTTGAACAGCAGCACAATCACATACATTGATATGAGAAAAATCATCAAGGGGAAATCCGCTACACTTAGTGAATAGTTTTTAGAATCTCCATCTATCACTTAAACTTAATAATGAATGTTTGGACAGGACAGTATGCACACCAATTTATATGTCTGAATAAACAGTGGAACACATGGCATGCCTGGTGTGAGGAAAACATAATACCCACTGTACCACACCCAGAAAGCTCACAATGACCACATGTACTGTCCCTATCAGACTTGATTCCCTGGGATTGCACCATGGAAAGTGTCACTTACGTGTATTTTATTTCTTTCTTTTTAAAAATAAACACACAATGTACACAATATTATCGGTCTAGGTTCACATGCACTACTGAAGCCATTCTAGATTCTGAATCAGGGCGCAATTGATAGTGTGGTTGCTCAGCTTCATGATCAAACAAACACAAAACATCATACAGCTATTTATTTTATTCAGCCAAATAAAAATATACTGTTTTCATTATGTAAATAAATGTGACCCACCAAACATCTTGACCTTGTCTGACATGAGCACTCATAGATTTTTCATTTGATTTTTCATTTTTTTCATGAGGAAATAATTATATCATGGCAACATACTTTATAGAAATGTAATCTGTTATGACTTGTTACAAACCACCGGGGTATTTTTTTTTACACAGCTGGCTGCCATGTATCCAGGCATAAACATCATGTGTACTGTAAAATCATTTTAAGATTGCTCGATAGTGTTCCAAACTGTGGTTGGTTCGAATGGATGTACAGGTGTTTTTTTGTGACCCATATCACCTACATGCATGTGTTATCATAGGGTAGTGAAATATTCTATGCAGTCCTACGACTATGTCTTTGCAAATGCCTTTAAAGTCATTAGATCACAAAAATGCCTGGGAACAAAAATTAAGCAGTACACAGTATTGTGCACTCAAAAAACACATCTGAAAAGACCTGGCGAAAATTACTATGAACATGAACATTGTGAATTATTGCATCAGTG